TAAATAATATAAATTACATACTTACATGCACTGGAATATCATCAATGATGATTGATTAAAACATTATTATAACATTATTAATTTATCATCTTGAAATATTAATAAATATCACGATGCTATTTATTATATTATAAATATAATATAAAAATTGATTTCTAATTACAATCATGTAAATATCAGAAAAAAAATAAAACATTGCATGTTAAACAGATTGTTGAAAGACACGATATAAGAAAATAATATTTAATCTAAAGAAAAGATATCTAAAGAAAAAATAATTCAGTGCGCTTCTTTTCTTATACTTCAAAAAATAATGTTCAAATATTAAATATTCTTAAATAGAAAATGTAACTCTAACTTTATTCTCTTAATATACTGTTTTGCAATTCTCTTCCAATAAATAAAATATCGCTTTTTTATAAGCTAATAATACGGAGATAATACACGTGTACGTTTCAATCATGCAGAAAAAAACACTACATAATTATAAAGTGGTATTGTCTAAAGATAAATATCAGAATATTAAATATAGATTTCTGAAAATATGTTACAAAGTATTAAACATCGGATATTTATTTATCGATTCATTATTGACAATATCAATAGCATATTTCTAGGGAAAACGTATTCCTCAATTAAGAAAAAATGTATATATAATATCAATACAAAAAAAATATACTGAACTTTTTATTAAACTTTATATTAGAAATTCTGATCACTTCGTTCTTTACTTCGCTCTAATTATCTTTATCTTCTTATTGTGGAAATAATAATTGATAACTTTATCATGTTTATTGATACTCTATATGGACTTTTTGTAATTAATCACAATGATACTACGGTTATAATACAATTTTTCATTGTAAAAAAATAAGTTTCGTGAATATTTGCGTATATCAGGCATTCATTCGTTTGTGCAATAGACGATTGTCGGTCCATGTTATCCGATCTTTCTCTCTCTCTCTCTCTCTCTCTCTCTCTCTCTCTATATATATATATA